CAGCCTGCGAATATATTAATCACCCGCAACACACAAACACGAAAAATTTTCTTGCAATCACATTACCCTCATTTCCACAATATACATTAAATACACCTAATGAAACTAATGATACACGTAGTTTTGTAGATGAACATGTTTTAATGCCAACACTTCATTGGACAGCTTATTATCATTTTACTAACCCCCTTTGCCTACCACTAACTAATACTCATGACAGCATAGAAAGAAACAAAGACATGTTATATAGACTCACTACAACACTAACACCTCGACAATTTACTTACGTAGGATATAAAAAATTACTAAAAACACTCACTGCACCCCGAGCTAACTAATTTACAATAGAATATTACGACCATAACCTCATCCGACCCAATCAAGACCAATTTTTAGATGAAGACCGCTTCGCTAACCCGCAACTGACAGAAAAATTTTTCATCAAAACATCATACGTATTCACACTTAATATTTTTGATAGAAAGTATGATCACATCATTTCAGAATCACTAGCTGATATTCAAGCTTACAAAAGTTTCCACAATAAATTTCAGTTATTTTCACTAACCTTTCACTTTCTTTCACCACATGAACGCGATTTGCACTGTTCCCACGATATTATGTTACGCACTAAGCAAACCCACACATATACATACTATCGTTTTATACAAAATCATTTTGATCTGCATACCCCATCAAGACAACCTCACCATCGTTTTCAGGTTCTTAATTCAAAGTACACATCACCATTTTTCCTTAAATTTACATATTGCATCAAAGATACTAACCTCCACGGCGTCCTCCGCAACTATGGCCCAGTTACCCAGATGTATATATTTTGTCCCATCACGAAGACCCTTAATGCCGAAGAATCCAGACCCTTCCTTATCCCGCATGAATTTATCCAGCCTATTGAAATACCAATATTAGAATTCATTCACAATACTAAATACAATCATAAAATATATAACCTCATTCAAAATACACCTTATGAGTTTGCAGTAGGCACCGAAGAACTAAACACCATTAAAGCACTTCAATTGCTTTGGCCACTGCTTCAAAATAAAAACATCATACGCATACTAGCCAAATTACTAACAACATCAGATATGATACACGACATCTTTCCCCACGGCTTTTTCCCAGAAGATTAACAGGTAAATATAACTTAAAATACTCTTCACTAATAAATTTAAATTAGTACTAACCATTTTTATCAATGTTTGATTTATATTTCTAGTCTTCACACCACGATCACCTACAAAACAGAAAAGAAAAAGAAAAATACAAACTTGTTAAATTCTCTAAAAAATTTGTTAATTTCTTGCACTAAATAATGTAATAAAAATCATACCAAATGTAGTAATTTCCTTTATAAATTATTTCCCCACAAAGCAGTAAAATTAAATACGATAAAAATTTTTAATTTAAAATTTCCCCAAAATGCAGTAAAATTCAAATTCTATGCAATAAATTGAGAAAATGAGAAAGCAGTACTAACCTTTTCAAATATTTTCATTCACTCTCACAAGAACTCTATCCAAACTCGCACAGCTCGCCCACGAAGAATTGTTTAAATAATGATTTTAAGTTTCAAGATTTCACACTCAACAACTCTAGCACACGATAACAAGTTTCAAACTTTCCTTTAACCCGGTTGGAAAGGAAATATATACTAAACCAAACTAACCAACGCAGCTTACTAAACACCACAAATCATAAAATAAAAGCATGACTAAGAAAAGAAAACCAACGGTACCCAAACCGGATTAACCCAGTTTAAAACTGGATAATTTATTCTTTTGAAGACTATTATAAAGTCTAAGAAAAAAATAATAAAACACAAAAAAGTCGCAAGACAAACCCATACCAAAAACAATTTGATTTTGAAAAAAGGACAACCAAATTAACATAAGAAAGACCAACATAAAACCAGCATAAAACGTTATCACAAAACAGGACCTCTCAAAGAAACAGCATGCAATCATACTCCCACCTCTGGCCTAACCCACCAGAGAGGACGTCCTGAGCATGCTCTATAGCCTGCCTAACCCACCGCGCTACATCCACGCTTTGTGACCACACTCCTATTTTTAATAAAAGGTACTCAAGGGTGAGTAACTCTTCAAAATAACCGAACAAAAACAAAACGCTTTTGTGAAAACAACTAACTAAATTCATGATTAAAAAACCGAACTAACATAATTTTATAAAATGTAAATTATACTTTGCAGTGTATAGATCAATACACAACAACAAAGACGAACATCCAAAGACTAGATGATCCCATCACACTCGAACGAAAGAATGGCTAAGCACAACCGACATGCCGTCCACAATCACGACTCAAAGGATTTAGAGTACGACTTGACTTCGCAGAAAAGGACTTCATTGAACTAGACCAATGACCAACTCGATGTTCAAGTATACGTACAGATCCGAGCTACAAGGCATCCCTTCCACACACGATCTTCACGCCATTCCCAGACGAGGTAGCACACAAAACAAGTTCTCTACACAATACAGGAAAGCCCGTCATAGCAAACCATCTTGAAATCGGATCGATTTCATTGGGGATAACAGTCGTTGTCGAATGACGACATAACAATTTCCTATCCATAATTCCAGCGTCCTGGAACTTCTTTACCCAAGAGGAACCGGATAAGAAAATGATGTTCGCCAAATTCTTCATCCATCCTTCAAATTGCAGAGAAAAAAGATGGGTGGAACCTGATCTAAACTACATTTTTTAATTGGATAAATTAGATATTTTACCACTGTAAAGTATTGAATATTAACCAATCATATTCCATCTAATTAACAACCCACTTATTTGTAAGTGCTGAAATTACTTGTAATTTCAGCACCAGAAAGATTTGAATTTAACTTAGAAATTAGTTGCCTCTCCAAGAGAATTTCAGCAGCCGCAATAAGCCAGTATACTCTAGATCTATTGAGCCTAGCAGAGACTAGTTAAACACCCTGAGACTAGTAGATATAAGAGTAAGATTAGGATCGGTATTAGACTAAGAAGTTGCACGAATCTATCCGGCCGAAAATAAGATAGCGTGACGAGCAGACGGTGTACCCTATCCGAAATTACTCAATGAGTTAGACAATCCATCTTAACTCAAAGGGGTGGAAGGGGTGGGTGAGTGTACGCTTTTTAACCCCCCTCTCTAAATCCGCCACCAAGGGGTCGGGGTATGACTGATCACAATTTATGGGACCAGGAATTTATTCATTTGCTTGTTGATATCAATTTCTCATTTGTCTATTCCTCAGAAATGCACATTTCAGTTTGAAAAGATCTTTTTTTTTTGTCGTTTTGTATTTCTGAGAAAAATAACTATCAAAGTTATGCTAGGCGAGACGTTTTCATACTTTCAAACTTATATGCTAGTGGAGCTTTAAACTAGTCGCGCGGTTGTCGATTTCGATATTCAAATTCCGACTGAGAGAAAAGTGACAAAATATTTGTGCTCGTGGTGGTTTTCTTTGTCGCCAGATCAAAAACGGTTTTTTAACTAACCATTGTTGGCAAAATTTTTTCAAAAAGCCAAAATTAAGCATGCTTATTACCTCAACGGCTGCGGTATAGACGGACAGTTTCTTTTGTGTACTTATAATTGTGTCCTGAAAGAAGATTTTCAAATAAATTTCGAGAATAAGTTCCCTCAAAGTTTTAATTTTGCTTCATATCTACTATTTCTTTTTTAATCCATAAATTATTTCAGACGTTTTCAAATGTTCCGATTGCCATTTGAAGTCGTCTCTGAACTTTTTTCCTGAGGCGTGTAGACTTGATATTACGACTTTTGAAAAAAAATACGGAATCTTAGCGCATTGTTTGGTTTTCATATTTATATAACTATGTAGATAACTGTTTATAATCGTTTAACTGAACAATTTTTAGTTACTTTTTCTTCATTACTTCCTGCGCTCGAAGTTCAAACTAATTTCAACCGAGAATATATCTTGTAAAGCCATGGAAATTTTAAAAAATTGTTATTTGGCCTATCTGGGACTGTTTCGGTTAACTATGCGCGTATCGAAGGCGGTGAACTAACCTGGCTCAAGAATCATTTAAAATTGAAATGAGGCAAGATTTACATTTTTAGTTGCAATATAAAGCTGAATGTACTTCACACGGTATACGAGTGGAATGTTTGAAAAATTCATTCTTCTTTGTCAATAATTACACCAGACAGGGTTTCCAGTTTTCACGATTTATCTTTGTGAGATTAGATGAACCACAATGAATTATCAGCAAATGTTACAGTAGCTAATTGATCCGAATTTCAAAAAAAGTGACGGAATATTTGTGCTCGGTGTGGTTAAGTCTCCAGATCAATTTAAACTTTTTAACTGGCCATTTTTGGGCAAAATTTTTTAAATCCATCTGAAAGGTATTGATAGTCTGAGTTTAAATTTAAAAACAAATATTTTACCTGTGATCATTTTTAGGGAAGTTATGAGGATTTGAAAATCGTTCCAAACTGGTTTGAGGCAGGCTAGTTGTCATAATTGTTGCGTACGGACATTTGGAGGGATGATATTTAGAAAAAAAGTTTTTTTGAGAAATTTATTCAATTTTATTCCATTGAAAACGATTTCACCTTTGAATATTTAGTATTTTTCAAGTGGAAAATAAATATAAGGAAAGCTTTTAATTAGTTATCATGTTTGTTCGTAAAGTTAGGTCAGCCGATTTCGCGCTTAGATTTGTGTTATATAAATTCACCAAAGCTCCTGATAATTGAAATCTTGCTTTTGGATTTTTTGGATTTTTTGGGTCAAAATGATTTACAGCAAAATGTCTTTCTCTAACTTTTTTTCTCAAAAAATTGCGTTTGATTTGTTTCCTGCAAATCAAAGTATGCGCATCTAAGAATGCGGTTTTGTTTTAAGCAATAAATCATGAAGTTTATTACATCACAAACCCGAAATACGATCACATACACATCTAGTGCACTTTGTAGCCATATGACTTATGAACATAAAAATGAAAAAACTCTGAAGTTAAAATTTCTTCGCAACATAAATAATGTTCCATATTTGTGATCAAAGCAGTCATCTGATCAATTGTTGAAAGTTAGCTGTGTCGACCGTTGGTTTATTTTTGCTCCTTTGTCTCGATTGTGGGGTTTGACCTCTGCACTAAGAAGCCCCGGATGACGCCGTCTCTCTTCATCGGCTGAGGGGCACTTAAGGGAAACAAGTCGTCACGCAGTCCGGCCAAAAACCTCTCTAAAAAATACAAATCTGAAATTCTGCGATGAAGTTAAAGTGTAATTAAGGCGAAGAGTGATTTCTTCGCAGTTAACTGCACCCGGGATAGTGATTTGTGTGATTGCTTTTTAAACTCCTATGCATTTGCGCAGTTTTATTTTTAACCTATTACGCACCATCAGTGGAGCATAAAACTAAAATTGACCGTCAAAGAATTTTTGCAAATTGCTTGCAGATATGACCTTTTATGGTTCGGGCCGTATGAAAAACGCTGATTAAACCTCCCGTTAAGCGACAAAAACATGTATACCTCTAAACTAGAAAGAAACGCATAACTTTGAATTTAGAAACTATTTTTGTCGGAAGTTATCGAAGAGTTAATTGCGCGCCTAATTCTGGAAGTTCGCATGAAATGGTAAGTTGAACTCAGAGGCGCCTAAGTTGTTGCTAATTTGTGTCACGTGATCTCATCAATTTGGACGTCTTAATTAACTGGTGGTAAAATCCTGCCCTGAATTGTCCCGGTTGAGTATGGGTTTGCATGTATTGTCCCCGCGTTGAAATTAAATTATTAAAATAAATTAGCTCAGAAATAAGCCAAAAAATTATGGTTATAAATTGGATAAACACAAATCCGACTAAATCTACAAATTTCTTTGAACATCTCGAAATGAATGTGAACTGAGCAAACACGAGAAACTTTTATTTAACTGATATAGCAGCTCTTTCGAAGCGAAACTTTGCAGAAAGTCGCAAAATAACTTTGCTCGGGGTATTTTTTTCTCTAGACAGTTTTCCAGTTGTAAACTAGCATTTTAACCTTCTTTTATTATACTGAAACCTTGAGAAATAAAAAAACGAAAGCTTTAGCTCAAACTTGCAAATTATTTCATCTGTGAAATGAAACCCTGAGATCAAACTTTTCTTCTGTGACATTTTTGGACAAGTTATGAGGGTGGGAAATAGTCAATTTGTTCAATTTGGGATGACTATCTCGAGCTAAATGTCCTATTTTCCATGAAACGACGCGTAGGTTCGGTAGCGAAAGAAATCGGTACAGAATTTTTTCTATTTTGAATGTAGGGTTACTAGTTGATTATTCAAGATAGTGTTAGACTCAAAAAAACCCGACATCAATAATCAAGGTTAAAATAGAAACAATTTTTAAACTTTTAATAGGATCACCAGATTACGCGGAAAAGAGCTCTTTTATCTCCTTTATAAAAATTAAGAGTAGTTCTAATGAGCGTTTGGTGGTATTATAACTTCGTAATTGTTACATTCGTTTTTAGGTTTCAATAACCCAATTGAAATGCAATTTTAGATAGTTTTAATTCAAACGAGTTGTTAGTAATATTAAATTGATGCTGAAATTTCCTATTTTAATCTGCATTTTAAAAGTCTGCATTTTAAATCAAACAGTTACTTTAAAATTATACTGATTTTAGTTTTTGTTCCGACTTTCGAAGAAAACGGAATATTTATGCTCCGTGTGGATTTTCTATACCCGATTGAAGACATTGACTATTTGAGTTCAATTTAAAAAAGATTTTTTACTCCGATTTTTTTTGTAGAGTTCTGGAGGTTTGAAAGTTGCCAAACTGGCCATGTTTTGGACTAGATTATGCGCGCTTGGAAGAATTTATTCAAATTGCTGAGAGGGTAACCCGAATTATTTATGCGTGGCGAATTATCTTGCACAAAAAAATCATTCTAAGTTGACTTGAGGCTAACTTATTAATTTCTTACGACTCAACATTTCACGCTTTGATATCATCCAAAATATATAGGTTTTCAATATTTTTTTCCCAAAAACTATTCGATATGAATTAAAGGACAGTCGGAACATTCATGGCTTTGCCCTGATATACGAGTAGTCTTGTTTTCCTTAACTTCAGTGCGGTCTGTTTTAAGTTAAAATAGCAAAAGACTTTTGACGACAATGCTTTGCTGTCAATTACCGGCACGGTACAAATTGCTGAAAAAACAGTGGCAATTAAATTTTTGCTGCGGCAATTAAATTTGGATGCTGACTACGCGAAACTTGATTCATAGTGTTCTTAGCTTCTAACGGCTGATTATGTTTTCATTTGTAATCTACCCCTTATTTTAACTGTTTTAGGTATTAGTAAAATTCGGACGTTGATTTTTTGTTCAAATTTTTGTCCAAACGTTCAAAATTTTATCAATTGATGGTGTCAAGTGATAGATTTTTTGCATCAAGTGACGCAATATTTGAAAAAGAAATCTCGTATTTGGCCTCATTTTCTTATAGGATTGATTTCGGAGCCCAGATTTGACTGCTTAGATGTTATTTTACAACACCCTTTCTGGGCCGACTGACCTTAAACTTTTTCGAAAGGTGCTAAATCAATAAACATAAAAAGTATTGTAGGGATGTAAGTAACAAAATACCTAATGCATCTGCAGTCTTTAAAAGAGCTGTAAAACAGTCTTTAAAAGAACTCTAAAATCGAGTGCCCGGGTGTCTGGACAGAGCTCTGAATGTTTCGTCTGTCTTCTAACGTGGATCACAAGCTTTTTGTTTAAAAAATCTTACACATGATTTCAATCCCCTTACTAGCTAGCTATGTTAAGTACCAGATGGCATATTTTGCGTGTGGTTAAGCAATAATAATATCAAAATGCTTGCCTCTGTTCATTTTGGAATGATCCAATTTACCTCTTCCGCTTTAATATTCGCAAACTCAAACCAGTGTAGTTTTGATAAAAATAGATCACAGGTGAAATATCTTTATAGATTTCAGTTTATGGCGGTAATAATTGTCAGGTGGTATTTTTGTCTGCAATGCTCAGTTCAAAAACTGAAATTGACTGAATAAAAAACCACCCCAAGAATAAAACTTTTGCACTTTCTTCGAATACTGGAGCAAAATTTTTAAATTGTATTCAAAGCATTATAAAATTTTTTTCTGTGTTTCTTTTATCTGAAAAAAAAAACAAATCCAAAGTAGAAAAAGAGAAGCCAAAGTAGAACAGAAAGTTCCCACCGCTAGAATTTGTGTAGAAAATCATTTGAACGTTTTCATTTTTTAAATTACTTACTTTTTCAAAAAACGCGATGAAAAATAAAATTCAATTACAACTAAAATAATGTTAAAGATAAAATATTCTTTTGAAATCCAGATTCATTTTGGGATCCAAATCGCGGCTGAAAGATCTATGATTTGAGACAAATCATATTAAATTTCTCAAAATCCGCCGAAAAAAAACACATCCTAGGCCATAGAGTTTCTTCCAGTTAGTTTTAGTGACGCAATCGGAACAAAAATGTATTTGCACATGGGTGGGGTTCGAGAAAACTAAGTCGATCGATTGGAATTCAAAAATAGGGGAGCCCAGGCCAATTAATTATCGTTCCAAGCGTTAAAAAAAAAGTTACTGATTGTTTTGAGCGCTACATCTTTTGTTTTGGTCTAAGAAAACAACTTTGAATGTATCCTAAATTTTCTAGAGATCCCTACAAAATCTTCTTCTTATAGTGTTTTACAACAAATGTGAATCTCACAAAATCTTAAAAGGCCCTGATAAAAATTTCAGATATAATTTTTGTATATTGGTGTTAAAAATCAGTGACTTATCAAAATCAATGACTCTTTGGTACTATTTGAAATTTACTAGGAGCACTTTAGGCGCCAATATATAGTGTTTTATTGTAATTTAGGGCAGCTGGCAAAATCAGTTTGTTCAACCAAAAAAGGTAGACCAAATTACAAACCCTCCCCCCCCCCCCCGTAAGAGTATGGTCGTAAGAGTAGTTCGCAGAACCAAATGCGCATAAATTTCAGCCAACTAAGTCCTTTAAACTGCTTTAAGCAGAATGATTTCCACTCCAATTTCGTTCCATTTTTTACCTGTTTTTGTTTCAAAAATTGCCTGCGTGCTCGTCCCTTGAAAGTGCTACCCTAAATCGAGAAAACTAACCTATAAAACTGTATGCAATTTTCAATCAGGGCTCATCAGCGGTTCTCTGTAAGCAGCTGAACCGCTTGCATATTGTTTTTCCCCTCGTGGATAAAGTGACTTTTAACTAATTGGTCGGAAACCAAAAAACACTCGCCAGTTTTTCTAGGAATAGCGACAGTTTGTTTTGGTTACCAGAAACGGGACAAACATGGCGCTTTAAATGATGACAAATTTGACCATCTCACGAGTTTTCCTTGAAATAACTAAAATCTTATGCGACAAGGATAGTCGGTTTCTGTGCAATTAGCACAGAATGTTTTGACCATAGTCTTTAGAAATTTTTTTTTTCAAATTAGTATACCTTTTTCTGCGTGGTGTGATAAAAGGATTTGACATGAAACTTTAATTTAGGCATGTTCGACAATCATTGTAATATAGGCAAACCTTCGTCCCTCGAAATTAGGTGAAAAATCGAAAACTTCAAACCGGTTTTTCTCGACTAGAAAAAAAATTGAAATTTGTTTATGTGGTTCGAATCATGACTGAAAGGGATTTAATATGATGTATCAATCAACCTAGTCCAATGATTATTTGTGGCACCTGATTTTCCGTGGAAAACAGAAAGAAAAAAAAGAAAAAAATAAAACACACGCGAATGCAAAATTTCTTCCCATTTTCAATGGTCGGAACAAAAAGCTTCTATGCGATAGTTCCTCCAGTTACTTCGTTATGTGGTCGAAAAAATTACAAATTAGTATGCGTTCCATCGAGGTCAATTTTTGGGGAGTAATACCAGTAAGCTCATAAACAATATTAATAATGAAGAGAACTAACCTTTATCAAATCCATAGTTTCTGAACTTCTGATGTACCCAATTTCCGTCTGGACTACCACGCTGGCTTGCTCCTATCTCATCGTTACTTTGGTCAAATTCCGCATTTCGAAGAGGCGAGTAGGCTTTCGCTACGCACTCGAAAAAAATTGGGACCAAAACAACGAACAAAACTGCCACCAAAAATTGATTCATTATTGTTGATCAAAAATTGATATTCTTCAAGCTTTTCGACAAAATTGGTGTTTTCACTCGTTACAAATTGTTTTCAGAGGTAGATTTTATAGTCGATTTCACACCAAAATATTCAAGTTATGATTATCAATTAGGGGAAGGAAACTGCTTTTAAAATTTGCGTCATCAGCGGGTTTCAATTTCTTTGATGCCTAATTAACAAAACTAGAAGTTATCACACAATCACCGACTCTCTTCCTGTTGCAGAGGGTACTCAAGCATTTAACTGATTTCACTCAATTTAAAAGCATTAACTGAACCCCTACAAAAGTATTTGGTGCTTTTCCGGTGAAATGGGAAAACCAATGATTCGAAAACAAAAAGATTTAACAAAGCTGTTCTTTTAACACCTCGGAATGGGTGTCAAGTTTACTGTGCTTTTAAACCTGATGATTTTCTTGTAATAAACAAATTAACTCGCCTAAAAAAATTGATGAGTGTTAATACCAATTCGATATTTTGCCAAAAAAAATTTTAAGCCACGTAATAATGGTTATATCGGCCACAGCAAAAAAATGAAAACAATTCGACACATCGTGAAGATTAGACTAATTGTTTGCAAAGTTGAAAGTTACATCGGCTAATTTTAAAAAATGTTTGATTCCAAAACACAAGAAAATTCGTTCATGATCATTTGATCCGCTGTCATACCGGATAAGATTTCCGAAAATTTCAAGAATATCGAAATTTTGCGCAAAGGAGTTGATGCCATACTTTCATCTAGCTGCTGCTTGTGTGTGCGTGCAGCTATTCTAATCAATTTGTCTTTAATTGAGACGGAATTCGAGCAAAATTAGTTTTTGGTGAAAATTATTTTTTTGCTTCAAACAAAAGTCATAGCCTGACGCTACAAGAATTGTTTTGTTTTTAGCCGAAACTCTGAGTTTGAAGGAACACTCAATAACAATTTAATTTTGTTTAAGACTTGAGTTTAGCATAAAATTGCTGTCAGAATTTTATATCCGCCAGAAATCTTAAGTGAAATTGTTATAAAGTAGCACAATCAGGTTTTCTTAGTAACCATGTTGGTTCAGTGAAGCATTTAAATGAAAATCAGTTACGAGCTTGTCGATAAAAGTTTTTAGTAATTTAGGAGGACTCATTTCAGCAATTATAGTTGAGACAAACCTAGTTTTTAAATGTGATGCGTGCGTTAATTGTAAGAAAAGTTTTGATATGATAAGAGTTAAGATAAAGCGTTAGTTTTGGCATTAAGTTAGAAAATTGGAGTTGAATTGTCGGGCGTTTAAACCTTTTCGTAATGATTTGACTAAGTATCAAAATGTACAGTGTTAAATTGAATGTTATTAATTAGTCAGACACCATAACAATTAAAATTTGATCAGTTTAACTGCTGGTACGCTTTTTTGATATGATTGCATGAAGTTAATAAACAAACCTAATTTTGTTGTTGTTTCTTACATATCTACTGGGGCCTGGAAATTAAAAGTGAGATTAAGATCAGTATTAGAAAAAAGAGTTCCATGAGACAGTCCGCCCAAAAAAGTTAAGAAACATATGGTGTACTTCATCTGAAACTACTCTAGGTCCCATCTCAGTGAACTATGAGGACCAGACTTGTCAAACATTTTTTTGAATATGAATTCAACAAGAATTGTTGCACTTTTGTGAATTATGCAAATATGTGATATTCTTGGTGTTCAATGAAGAGTACTGAAGATGAAGGATTAATTTTATTTATAGACCCGGGAGCTCTCAAAGAGTCAGAATAAACTATGGCTAAAAGTGGTTTTATGTCACAGAAAAGCAGATTTTCACAAAAAAAAAAACGTTCAAAGGGTGTCGTATGTGGTATTATATTAAAATAGTTTCAGCCTTGATTGGGACTCCAGAAAATAATAAGTTGCCTCAATTACAGAAAAATAACTTGCATTCGCATCTCGGACATAACTTCATTGAAGTGAATCAACTGCCTTAAATTAACTCCGTCTAGTTTTTTGCGAATAATCTTTAAATAATATTTAGACTAAAATAATTGCATTTAGAGCTTCCATTCAATTTATTTGTAGTACTCAAGAAATATTAAAGCAAAAAGAAAATAAATAAATAGTGATTAGGGTAAATTGTTCAGTTTTAATTAACTTGATTGATTATTCTACTTCTTGCACAGCAACCCATTGCCCTGGTATAAATTATGAGCACGTCTATTTTTTAATAAACGCTTTACTATCTAAGTAGAGCTTCCCAAATCCCTATAAAAAAGAGTACGCTTTTGAAATACTGTAAAGTTTTAAAACAAACAAGGTTCTTGTTAATAAAACAATTGCACTCCAAAAAAAAAATTTTTCATTGAGGAAATTTAAGCAAATTGAGGGCTCTTTTTCCTTCCTTCTCCCCCTTCTCACATGAGAGTCAAATTTATGGTGTAACGAATGATTTTACCAGTTTAATTATAGAGACAAAACAAGTTTGTCTTAGACTAATTAGTCCGCATGTCAATTTTCAGGAAGGAAAAAAGCACGTGTTTAAAAACTTGTCGGGAAAAGGGTTGGATTTTGTCATTGAAAACTCTCTCTACCATTTATATTGATTTAAAAAAGGGCTCTTTTTCCTTCTACCTTTCTACCTCCCCCTTCTCACATGAGAGTCAAATTTATGGTTTAACGAATGATTTTACCAGTTTAATTATAGAGACAAAACATGTTTGTCATAGACTAATAATTCCGCATGTCAATTTCCGCATGAAGGATAATGCGAGCAAATATTATACTTCTAAAAATTTGTATGTGCGGGGGGGGGGGGGTCGGGGGAGCGAAAGTGTTTAAGATAGCTCAAAATGTATCTGTTTACGATGTAACGCTAACCTTTTAACATGTGAATATTCGTGTCTTTGTTAATACACTTCCGGGTTAAAATCACAGAGGTTATCAGTACTGTTCAAGTAGAACAACAGATGTAAAACAAAATTTAGTCCTGTATCAGCGTAAAATCTGAATTTTACTTTGTTTTTACATGACCAAAAATTGAACAGGAAAAAATTTGCCAGAACTGTTCTAGAACTGTAACATAAATGTTACAGTTTTGTTTTATTCTGTTTTTTTTTTGAAAGCCTCCTGGAAAACTTTCTTACGAAGTTTCGATTTGATTTCAAACTTTTATCACGTGTCGTAACAAAAAAGAAAAACTGTTAAAATAGCTTTTAGTATAAGAACTTGCCAGAAACTACTGAAAAATTAGCACTAAAAAGAAATTAGTTAGCGTTGGTAGTTAAAAAATCTGAGCACCTAAAAATACCTAGAAAAAAGACAATTTTTGGTAAAAGTATGGAAAAAAAAGGTTTTTTTTTTAAAATGTGAATTGATGCATACCCTCGCAGCTAGAAAACAACCTAAACGCAGTTTTCTTATAAAAAATATAAATTGTTCAGCGTTGTTAATTGAAAGGCTTGAGCAAGTAAAATTGCCAGGAAACACAGTAAAAATATGGAATTTTTTTTTTTAATTGATGCATCCCCCACAGCTAAAAATATGCTCAAAAATAATCACACAGAAAAAAAAACTGTGAACAAAGCTGAACAAAAGAGGTGTTCAAAGAAACGCTTAACATTACTCACATATTGACTTTTGAGCATTGTTAAACATTTCAAGTCGAGTTCAATCAAATTAAAAAGACATTCAGCTGCTCTTGACTTTGTGCCTCCAAAAACCTAAGTTTTGTAACGAGGGGCTTAGTTCAGGACAACTTGCAATTTAGTTTGCTTACTTTAGTTTGTTGACTTAAATTATCATATCTGTTTGCCAAAAATTGCGTCAAGGCTATTTAATCATCAGAAAATTTTGAAATTTTTTTCTCTGATTTTTTTTCTGATGAACATTAGTTACGCGCATTTTCATTGATTGCTTGTATATTTATTGTGCACTTTCTTTTTATAGTATCACTTGACTTTGGTTTATGATGATAATTAGCCTAATTTTTAATTGTGTTACAATTGAGTTTTAAAACCGAGATTTTCTCAAAGTTTTTAAATTTTTTTTTCAGAAATTAAAAAAAAATTTATATACAGTTTTTAAGTTTACTATTCATTTAAGACTTTTACATTATTTTTTTCTTTGAATCAAAAGAGGCAATCACTTTAAAAAAATTAATATGAGCAGGATTCTGGAATCAATCAAGTTTTTTTTAAAGTGCAATAAGTCTACTATTGTGGCATTTTGTTGAACTATCAGCATCTTACCAGCAATAAAAACTGCTGAAGTCTAAACTGCGGACTCGAAGATGTCTTCGATAGTTCTTAATTAAAAAGATGAACTGGCTTAAAGAGGTACCTCAAGCTTATTATTATTTTTACTTTCATCGATAACTACAGAATTGCGTCTAGTCGGCGAATCAGCGGCACAACAAAGTTCTCCATAAATAAACATTTGTGTTCACAAAATTACTTACTACTTCAAAGACGTCAGTCCAATTCCAAAAAAGCTATTCAACTATGAATTATGATTTGGTTGAGATTCTGATTCTAACCTCAACTTACTTCATCCAAATGAACACCATTTGAACAGCATTTTATTTTTAAAACTGATCAACAATTATAAAATGTCTAAAACAAAAAAGCAACAAAAGTCAAAAGCAACCGAAGATGTTCATTGAAAATTTGATCATGTAGCTAATTATTTAAGCTAAATTGAAACGCTTGCTACAATTATCTCGTTCAATTTTCAAATTGATTTAAAGTAAATTTAAAGTTAATTAAGTAAAATATGTCGAAGTATTGTCATTTTATTTTGAAGACTTGTGCCTCATAGAGGTCATAAACTATATTGAACAACTTGGTTAAACTAGTGCAAGTTTTAACCTTGACATTTTCCCTTCCTGCAGATGGCAGTTTCTCGAGTAGAAATAGGTTCACAAGGGAATTGATAGCCTGCTGTAACTTATTTTCGCAGAACTTGAAGTAGCATCTTTCGGATGCTGCTGTTGAAATCCACTAACAACTGCAAGAGATAATGAAACTACTGGAGTTGAAAAAGGGAGTCTTGTTACGCGGAACTACCCGGCTCGAGGTGCTCGACTTATGTTTGAATTTTTTAAACCAAAATTGAGCATGTTTTGACTTTCTCGGCCGAAATCCGCCGTGCTTCGACTGTGCGCTTGACCTAAAACTGCTTTAGACCGCGGAAATTAAGTCGCAAAACTTCACTTGCTCGATGACTTTCAAATCGAAACATAAGTCGAGCACCTCGACTCGAATAGCTGACTAGTCTGTG